CGAGCCCAACCCATGAACAGGTCTACTTACAACCTACAACATGTTTACCAGGAGGGAGTGTGGTTAGATCCCACATATGATTATGAGCCAAAGCGAAGAGTTCTTCTTCCATTGCATGGCGCCACCTTGGAAAGGCAAGAGCTTCCTAGACATCCTTAGGAACAGAAACAAAAAACAACATAAAAACAAACTAGCGATGGGAAGAAGGTGAGATACAGAAACATAATTTGAAATGAGGTGAAGGGTGCAACTGCGTTTACCTTTCCGCAAGGCAATGGGAAGATCAAAGTCAGAGACAAGGGTGGGGCTGGTGTGGGAACAACTACCAGATCTGTCGACAGTGAAATAGTTGGAGGAGCTGGTACATGTCGATGCGTATACACTTGGCGGATGGGTGGTCGTTCAACAAGAAGTTGCACTGGAGGCAAAGGATTGGTCACAACTGGAACAAGAGGAATGGGATCCTCAACGGGAACTGGAAGAGGAGGTAGAGAAAAAGAAGAAGAAACATCCAACCTAGAAAAAAACATGGAACAAACTTAAGGGTGGCCATGAGCTGAGCTTTTCAAGAGCTATTCGATCTCGGCTTGGCTGGGTTTAAACCGAGCTCGAGCCCAATAAAGCTCGGCTTGTGAGGCTTGCAAGCCTAATCAAGCTTCTACATATATGTATATATGTATACAAACATATATATATATACATAAAAAATAATATATAAAATAAAAATGTTATATATATAATATTTTATTTTTATATATAATAATAACTAATTATTATAATTCTTAATTTTTTAATTATCAAATAAAAATATTTTTTAAATATAATCTTTTATTTTTATAACACATTTAGCTTATAGTCAAGCTCGAGCTTACGCGCTTATGAGCTTTTGACTTGAGTCGAACTCAAGCTCAACTCTCTAGCTCGAACCGAGCTCAAGCCTCAAACTTCCTTAGCGAGTTGAACTAAAATAGCTAGCTATTTAGCTCGGATTAACTCGCATCCACCCCTAAATAGACTCAAAGAAAGTAACATCAGGACACATAAAGGAACGCAAGAACTGGGGTAGTAACACTTATACCCCTTCTGAGTCTTAGAATATCCAAGAAAGATACACTTGGTGGATCGTGCATATAATTTGTCCATTCCATGCCCAAGATTATGGACAAAGCACACACACCCAAAAACTTTGGGAGTAAGAGGGAACAGAGACAAGATAGGAAACAAAGTGGTGAAGGGAGAATGACCTTCAAGGATGGGCATGGGCATCCGGTTAATAAGGAAGCAAGGTGTAAGCATAGCATCACTCCAAAAACATTTGGGTACATTCATATGATGCAAAAGGGTCCGAGAAGTTTCCAAAAAACGGCGGTTCTTTCTCTCAACCACCTCATTTTACTGAGGGGTGTAGGTACATGAGGTCTGATGGATAATGCCATGTTGTTCCAAATATTCCTGAAACGGTGTATAAAAGTACTATTGACCATTATCAGAATGAAGAATCTTAATGTGCAAACCAAATTGATTGTGGATCTCAGTATAAAATTTTTAAAAAATGGAAAACAGCTCACTCCTTTCTTTCATAAGGTAAAGTCACGTCATCCTTGAATAATCATCAACTAAAATTACTTAGCATCTGTAACCATTATATGACACTATTTTATTTGGACCCCAAATGTCTGAATTAACTAAAGAAAAATGACAACATATAACTGTCAACCTAGGACTAAAGGGAACACAATGATGCTTCCTTAACTGACACAACTCACAATCCAAAACAAAAAGACGACTCAAAGACAGAACAAGTAACCGAAGCTCCGAGAACCCCCAATTTGGTAATGTTATTCATTCATTCATCCTAATAAAATATCTTCTTAAAAAGCAATTAAAATTATAAAATCATTATTTTTTGTGTGAAAACTAAGAATTTAAGACTTAACGTGGACTTGTTTGGGCTTGCCTCGAGGAGCGTGGCACAAAGGCGGCTCATAAAATCAGGAATGTAATATGTTTTACATTACATTAACTACTTGAAGTAATGCAATTAAGTGAAAAAAGAGATTAGAGGTTTTACATGCTTGAAAATGTTTTATATGTTTGATTTTATTTTTAAATTCTCATTTGAATATGCTTTACATCTTATGTTTATGTATTTTAATTTTAGATAATAGGTTTTTTAAAACATTATTTTAAAATTTAAGTTTATATTTTTTGTTAATATTATGTTTAATATTTTTTTTGAATTTTCTAACATTTTTTATTTTTTTGTATTTTTGTGCCTTTCTTCAAAAAGGCGCGTGCCTCGCCTTGCACCTCAGGCGCAAATTGACCCCTACGCCTTTTTTGCACCTTACGCTTTTAAAACACTACATGGGACACTCATCATCTCCTTCACAGAGGCATCCGTAGAAGGCATCCATAGATGTGTCCCCTACTTAAAGTGTGGGACACATCACACAGATCATTCAAGTCAAACATTACACCCCACTCCCAATATAAATAAAAGGACCAAACTGCCCCTATACAGCCGACACTAACCGTGGCTTTATCTCATCTTCATCATCTATAACCATTCCTCTACTTAGGAAGCTACATTGGCCTAGGCTAGATGGAAGAAGAAATATCAACCATACATGACAATGGTACACTAGAACTTGTCTTGCTACCACCTAATAAGAAATGCATCAAGTGTTGTTCGGTATACACTATAAAGTATCTAATGAGTAGCTCTATTGAGAGCTTGAAAGCTCATCTTCTTGATAAGGTATTTACTAAAACATATGGCAGAGATGATGTTGAGACCATTCTAGTTGTTATCAAGTATCTTTTATATGTATTATTGTTTCCATGCAAGTTACTTACATGTATCATGTATGTATGTTCATATGTTTAATTTATATATTTATATATATATATATATATATAAAATGATACATATAAGATAGTATATGTAGTATTTTATATTTGTAAAAATTATAACAAATTATACATATCTTATATGTCATATAATACAAATTATTTTATTTATTAAGTAAAATGTATTTAATGACATAGGCCCAAAGCCCTGCCCTGGGATTATATTTCCGGCTCGAGACCCGACTAGGCTAGGCTTCAGCTATAGCCCTTATCTTAGGTGCAAGGCCCAATTCAGCCCATCCTATGATCACCTAACTAGCCACTTCTTCAAATTGATGTGAAGAATGCCTTCTTGATATTGCATGGTGATTTACATTTAAAAGGTGTTTATGGAGAACACCCTAGTTTTGTTGCTCAAGGGGAGTCTAGGAAGGTCTATGATCTCAGAAAGGCTATCTATGAATTTAAGTATTCCTCTCATGCATGGTTTAGTAAGTTTAGTGAGGTTGTAATATACTTTGGGTTAAAAAAATACTAGTTTAATTTGTTGATGTTTTCTCGGAGCTCTTCTTCTAGCCAATCATCTTCATAATCTATATAGACGATATTACTTTTATTCTAGGTGATGATAAATGTGGAATTAATGCTCTTATGTCTTCTTTTAAAGGGTTTCATACTAACGACTTAGGGAAGTTGAGGTACTTCCTTGGGATTGAAATATGTTGACCACAATTAGAGATCAGATTTTCACAATGTAATTATGCTCTTCATTTGCTCAAGAGACTAGTAGTGGGGTTCAAGCCACCATGCTAATAGGATCCAATATTAAACTTGCAAATTGCAACACATAAAGGGGAGTTTATTGCAAGGTTTGAAATTTCGACACATATTGGCCAAATTGGGCTTTAATGCAAATCATAGTTGTCAAGGCGACGCCTAGGCGACAAGTGCCCTTTGAGGCTCACCTCGCCTAATCGCCAAACAGATTTGTGCTATGTATTATAAAATGCTTTGCTATTCTTTATTTTTTGATAGTATAATTATAAAATAGGCACTATTAAACTAAAATATTCATTTTGTGTGTTTATATACTAATTTCTTTTTATTATTTTGTTATTTGTTGGGGTTTAATCAATATAAACATTGCTAAATGCTGTATTGAACCCCCAAAGACTTTAAAACCTGAACCAATAAGGAAGAACTTATCAACACATTTTCTTTTCTTCTTTTCCTATAACAAAAATAAGGGTTCAGCCCCTATATTTTTTTTTCTTTTCCTTCTTTTTCTTCTCATGAATATGTTGATTTTCTATACTTTAACATGAATTCTATACTTTTCTTATGAAAATTATGAATAATTCTTAAGGAAATGTGGTTATGATACCTAGGGAACTACCCTAGGATCTATGTTTTCTACATAAAAAATCCATCACATAGGCGACTAGGCGACAAAGCGCCTTGGTGCCTTGAAAACTATGATGCAAATGAACAAGCACTTAGTTTATCAGTTTCGGGCTTTAATGTATATTAGTAAACATGCACTTGCATTTGCAAGTGGAAATATCTCTAAGACAAAATTATTTATGATTCATGGGCAGTTTCTGAACAGTTATAAGTGGGCAGTTTCGAAAGTGAGAGTAAAGGACATATGCGCTCTTTATGCCCGTTGTATGCTTAGACAATGGGTAGAAAATGTCCAATGAAAATTACAGAAAGAAGGTTCATTCGCTCTTTTATAGGTAGTATAGATATAGATTTCTCGAAGTTCAGGTAATAAAGTGTGAGCATTTGAAAGTCCAGGACCTAAAGTGAGATTCCCAAAATACTCTTAAAAAACTTCAATTCGACCAAAACACCCAAGTTTACACTTTACAAGTACAAGAAAGGGTGTTTTTGGTATTTTGCCTACTGAGCCGCGAAGAAACTAACTTCCAAGAATCCAGGAACAGCGCAGAAGCATGAGGCACAGTACAATGACAAATATGCCCCTAGGGTTTTGCAGAACGCCAGATCCTCTCTGCTTCAAATTGAACCCATATCCCGGACAAGATGTCTCCAATAAAAGAAGAAATGCAGAAAAAAAATAAAAAAAAACAGATGCATAGGAATGAAATTGGGGAAATAGGATGAGAAGAATAGAAAGTTACCTTTTTGATGTCGCAGAAATGCCCGATGGTGAAGTGAAATTTCAGGCTATCACAGAGTCAGAAAGGTCCGGAACTCCAACATCGATGGGATTAGAAAAGCCAATGCTTTTCGTTACAAGTTGATAAATGAGAAGCAATCCGTCCAACAATCTAAATGAAGAACCCTAATGGCGATGGGTTTCGTCGAAGTTTGCAATTTGCAGGCGACTTGGGCATGAAAAGCCTAATGGCGATGGGTTTCGTCGAAGCTTTGCAGTTTGCAGACGACTTGGGCATGAAAAGCAACGACCATCGTGGCAAAGACGGTAATCAAGTGTCCATTCTTGACGTGGCAACATAGACGGGATCTACTCCTCACACGAGTCGCCTCACATCACACGGAGCGCCTCACAGGCATCTTCCGTGAATAATAACTTATAGGTACGGGAGAAGTTCCATGGATGTGCGTGTGCGATCGGTGTGAGGCGCCCTTTGTAAGAAGCAGATTCGGTATTTTTTGAGTTTATGGATCCCGGCCTAAACTCAATCCAAGCCCAAGGCATTGTTGGGTCGATCAAAAACCGTAAAGCCCACTGGGTCGTGGTTTTACTTGGTTAACCATCTGGTTAATTCATTCAGATCGTTAGAATTAAGGATAATAGTATATAAGAGTAATTTTTGGGCCTTAATATCAATAAAATAATATTTTTTAAAAAAAATAAAAAATGATTAACTTTTTAAAATAATATAATGAAGGATAAAATCACTGTTTATCTTCTTCTTCTTGCAATCTTTTCACCAGCAACGCTGCCCACCGCCGTCCACCGCCTCCGCCTCCGCCTCCGACAATGTTGTCGGAGGTGGGCGGAGGCAGATGAAACGAACATCGGGAATCGGGAGTATCACACCAACAATCGCCTCCGAGATCATAATTCAGTGACATCCAACAACTAAATAGACTTCATGTTTCTCATCTCAGTCTCAAAAGAAAAAAACAACAAGACCATTAAATCTAACTTACAGAACAAGAAATATAACTCTTGAAATCAGAGCAAATTCCATGCCAGTATCAATTTTAAGTAAAGCAAACCTAACGAATAACAGATCGATAGAACTACTGATTGAAAGGGAATGATACATCAGGATTTGAAACTTCAGACTTTTTATTCTAAACAGAGTCTAAGCCTTGAACAGAAGAAAAAGAAAAAGAAAACTAACGCACCATGGGCAAGCAAAAGCATCATCGGAAGAGAAAACAAAAACAGATAAAAAAAAAAGTTGCAGATAAATAACTTCTAACAAATATATTAATTCAGAATCGCAAAAGATATTGATTCTTTCTAAGAAACTTCTAACAAATATATTAATTCAGAATCGCAAAAGATAAGCACAACTAAAAGAAGATAAATAACTAGTTAACCATAGATTAAGTATGTGGAATACGGTAGAGGTGGGTGTGTTAGGAACTTGACTGAAGCTGGTTCGGCAGGGAGCTTCTTCACTGGCTCCGAGAGCGGGCCCAACGCCTATAACTCCATGGCAAGAAACTAGGAGAAGGAACGGAAATATATATAAAAAAATGGGTAAAATGCAAAAACCTCCCCTGAAGTTTCTGGCAATCATAAAAATCTCCCTTATAGTTTTATTTTAGCAAAAATCTCCTCTTTATTTTTGACAAAATTAACAAATACCTCCCTTTGACCAAGATGGAAAACGTTAAATAAATGATATTTTTCTTCAAAATGCCTATTTTACCCTTTCTCGAACATGTTCATCTTCTTCCCCGTTTGAACTCAGAAGCAGAGGCAGCTGCGACACCCCTCTAAATCCGATCTCTTCCTCTTCTCTCATCTTCTTCGAGATGATGATTTCTTGTTCTCGAAGTACCAGTTATGGGTGATGTTCTCAATGGTGACAACGATGACAAAAGTGTTGCGGTGAACCTAGAGCATGTCCTTGGCCAAGTCGATGGCGATCACTCCCGCACTGCATTCCGTTTTGCCCAAATTAAAGCTCCTAATGTTACCTCTTAGCTTGTACTTGTTGATAATCATGGCAGACAGCGAAGGGGTCGGATTGAACAAGCTACAGTTCACGACTAGTCTTAGCCTTCACGGAGGTATTAGAGAAGAGGTTTTCTAGAGTGCCAAACATGACCTACTCGGCTTCCTCCCTAGTGTTATCCATCGTCGGCCGTGGAGAAATGTAGTGCATCGCGTCAGCGACGTGCGTCTCCTCACCCATTTCGGAGCGCTTGAAGATCTTGAGTTGGAACTTGAGCGGAGAAGTCCCCAATGAGCCTTGAGTGTTCCATGAAATCCTTGAAGTTAACCCTCAGGTCTAAGGGAGGGAGGTAGTAGGAAAAGTCCACCAGATACACGGAGCGTGGTCGTGTCATGAAATAGATGGTAGCACCCAATACAAGCAGTGCAGAGCAAATGGCGACACTCACCAAATTGTTCTCAAGCTGATGTGAATCAAGTGATAGCTCAAGGATATCCTCTAAGCTCCACTACAACGCTTGGACCAAGGTCACAGCCATCACCGGAACAAGAGATAAAGTGACAAGATATTTCATCAAGTAATGATACCCCAACTTCACATATTTAACGTTCACGCTTTGTAAGAAATCAGCCAATCTCTGACTTTGTCGGGCTTGAACGTCGCTTCCTACACCGGCACCACCATTTTCGGCGGCTTGAGCTCCCACTCCTTCCATAGCGAATTGGTGACTGAGCCTAGTGGTTCTAAACACTAATTGAGCGGTGAAATCATTAAAATAAATGCATTTTTATGTAGGTAGCAAACCAAGCTTCAGAACAGCTCACCGAAAAATTATTAAAAAACCAGTCTGAGAGAGATCTTTAGTTCTTTACCGACTGAATAAAAAATAAGGTACACAACACACACATAGATTTGGAAGCTTCTTTGAGGGTTTCCGTGCATATCCTGGGCTCCTCAGCTTATAATTCAGTCCAAGCTTCCAACCATCAAATTAATTGCGGACAAAGGAATTATTAATGCAAACACATAGTAGATCATTAAGATGGTAGAAAACAGGGAGAAAATGGCGGAAAGGGAGAGGTTTCGCATGAAGCACCGCCGCTGCTGAGAGTTGCAATGGCGGTGGAAAAAAATAGGTGCGATGGAAGGGGACAATGCCAGAAGAAGAAGAACAAGCAGAGCAAGAATAAGTAGAAAAGATGGATAAGAAGAAGAAGTACGAAAAAGAACAATAAGTCCAAGAATATGAGAGATGAGGAAGAGATCGGATTTAGAGGGGTAACGCCGTTACCTCTGCTTCTGGGTTCGAACGGGAAGAAGATGAACAGTGTTCGAGAAAAGGTAAAATAGGTATTTTGAAAAAAATATCATCTCTTTAACGCTTTCCGTCTGGGTAATTGACAGAAGGGAGGTATTTGTTAATTTTGTTAAAAATAGAGGGGAGGTTTTTGCTAAAATGAAACTATAGGAGAGGTTTTTATGATTGTCAGAAATTTCAGGGGAGGTTTTTGCATTTTACCCAGAAAAAAAGAAAATGACGCAAGCAGGACTTACTTGGGCAGATTTTGAACTGATTGAGGATGATGTACACGGGAGATTTCAGTTAGCTCAGCTCCGAACTGTTTTCTCAATCAACGGTGGCGAAATGGTTTGCGATCGAAAGTTTGATGGGAAATGACGATCCCCTTAAATGTAAATTTCCTTCAAAACGGAAAGGGAGGATGGAAAGGTCAGATTTCCATCGTTGCTAATGTTTCTAGTTAACCGGTGATGAGGACCGAGAATAGAGCTTTCAGGTTAACTAGTGATGAAGACTGGGAACAAAGCTTTCATGGATTGTTTATGTTGGTCCTCGGATTGGCCAAGGACAACAAAGTAATTTCGCCCCTAGACTCCGAAGGCTGGCCGAAGGCTTCAAGGGTTCGGAGAGCTTGTGTTAAGGCCGAGGTAGAATGGGCTCCGAATACTGTAGAAGTCGAAGGTAGATGGTCGAGGCACTGCAAGACATAATGCGTCAAAGGCCCCGGGTGAGAACCCGAGGTAGAATCTCCGAAGGTGAAGTAGTCTACTGCAACAACGAGGTACTTTCTTCCCCTCGTGGCTTGAGGAAAGGGGCCAAGGAGGTCCATGCCTCATTTGGCAAAGGGCCATGGGCTGCTGAGGGTTGAGAGAGTGGTGGCTGGTTGGTGGCATAAGTTGGCGTGCCTCTGGCATGGTTTACACTTTTGCACCAATCTAGTTGTGTCCTTGTGGAGGGTAGGCCAGAAGTAACCCTGCCTTAGGACTTTTGGGCTAGGGCTCTCCCGCCGAGATGATTACCGTAGATGCTTTCATGAATTTCTCGTAGCAGATAGATGCCCTCCTCCGAACGAAGGCATCAGAGGTAAGGCAAGGTGAAGGATCTTCGATATAGTTTCCCTTCCAATAGGGTGTAGTGGGTTGCCTGTCGTCTGAGTCATTTTACCTCATTTCTATCTTTAGGTAGCCGTCTAGTTGATAGGAAGTTGACGATAGGATCCATCCATGAAGGTTTGGCCTCTATTGGGAGTACTTGGGCTTCTTCAATGGAGGGCCGAAGCAGCTTGTCGACGTGCACGGTCCGGCCAGGGGATCCGCTCGAGGTACTTGCCAACTTGGAGAAGGCATCGACTCGTGCGTTCTCGACTCGCAGGACCCGTTGCAAGGAGAAGCGTTGGAAGTGGTGGGCTAGATTTTGGACTTTGGCGAGGTACTTGGACATACTTTATTCCCTGGCCTCGTACTCACCGTTCACCTGATTCACCACCAGCTGAGAGTCACTGAAGGTTTCGATGTATGAGGAGCCGAGGTCCCTAGCAAGCTGCAAACCAGCGAGGAGGGCCTCATACTTGGCTTCATTGTTTGATGCTGAAAAGTCGAACCTTAGTGCATACTCCAGGACAAAATCATCTAGGTGAGAAGGATGAGGCCCACTCCGCTTCCTTTAGCGTTAGAGGAGCCGTCGACAAAGAGCTTCTATTGGGGTTGAGCCTCATCGTCTACATGATCCCCCTCAGCATTTTTTGGGGGCTGTGAAGGGCTCGGCTGAAGCTGCACTCTACTATGAAATCTGGCAGAGCTTATGCTTTGATCGCGGGCCTCGGATGGTACTGGATGTCAAACTCAAACAACTCAATGGCCCACTTTGTCAGGCATCCCGAGGTCTCGGGTTTGGCAAGGACAGTCTGAAGGGGTTGGTTCATCAGGACCACTGCAGTGTAGGCTTGGAAGTATGGCCGAAGTTTCCTTTCCGAAACCACGAGGACAAAAGCCAACTTCTCTACCTCAGGGTACCTGGTCTTGGCGTCGCAAAGGACCTTGCTGGCATAGTATACTGGCTTCTGCGCACCATCTTCCTTGATGAGGATTGAACTGACTGCTTCATCCCCGGCCGAGAGGTACAATTACAGGGTTCCCC